GTGTACTGGTTCAATCAAAACATATATATCCTACTATATATAGCGCTCTTATATTTATGGCAACCGAAGAGCCGCACTTCTCGTAAGCCTCAAACATATTTAGGCAGGCATATTTGAGTATTCTGTGAACCACGCCAATCACCAGTTATATTAGGGTACGGCCTATGAATTTTAATACAAAAAAACTTGAGAAGAGGTCGTGCATGCGCAAAAAAGATCACATGGGTGTGATTCGCATGTGAATCACGCTGTCCCTAAGAGGTTAAGTACTGCAGGAGTTCACTGCATCATAAGGTTCAATAATGAATGCCAATTTTTTTCCTTTAACAAACAAACACATAATAATAGAGAGAGAAGGGATTGACTCACCAACACATTCGTTATTCTCAAAACGATATCCCTTTTCACAAACACAGTCGTAACTTCCTGGTCGATTCATGCATTCCGAGTGTAACCCACAGACACTTTCTTCTGCACACTCATTAACGTCCACACATCTATAAATTACCTTTTTTACTCAACATTTTCTGCTAAATCTTACTTCTTCGGTAGGAAAGGCATGGAACGTTAAGCGTTGAACATCAGCGTTAGGATCATATTGCAGGCCGGTTGATGGGGAAGCCCCATAAAGAAAAATGACAAAAATTGCAAGGCCTATGAAGAAAATCATGCGAGGGAGCTCGCACTTCGCTGATGATGAGGATGCTGAAATGGGCCTGCGGCTGGACGCGACTGGACAGGGTCAGGAACGAGGAGGTCAGAGCGGTCATGCAGACTGCCCCTGTCCAGCTGAAGGTACGGGAACAGCGTCTGCGATGGTATGGGCACGTGCTAAGGAGGCCACAGGACCACCCATAAGAAAAGCACTAAACTTTGGAAATCAGGGTAAGGGAGCACGAGAGCCGCAACTGTATCAGCACGGTGCCGCTGTAGAGACCTAATGAGATTGGGGCAAGGATCTACCCTTATCCGCTCAATATGAAGTACAGGAGATTATTGGGAATGGGCTTAAAAAACTATACCTCTCTTGAACCATGTACCTAACGTTGGGTTATTTTGTGGAGTGAAACAAGCAAGTTATCAAAGTGCAAATAAAAAAACGGATCTCATGCACTAAGGGGGGACACTGCCTGTGGACAGCCTGCTCTTATGTCTATTTAGCTCAAGGAGTCCTTCAAATTGGCAAAGGAGTGGACATGTCTGCTCTATGTCATTTTGGCTAAGGAGTACCTTCCTCAGAGTCTGCAACCCCCGCTATGAGCTTTCCCTACTGTTATTTTAACACAGCCGAGGAGGATCTCGGTGTTCCTATTGCTAGGGAGGGCCGGAATCCTAAGCGCGTTGAGCAGTTATATGGCTGCTTCGCATCCATGATTATATACGCGTGTGAACCTCCGACCACCCCCATACGTCCCCCTTAGTGAATGAAGCCAACAAAACAATTTGAACTTAGAAAACTCACATGTTCTGGTAGGATTTCCAACCGGGTTTACATACGCACTGTCCATCGTAACAACTTGCATGAATGTCGCATGGAGGGCAACTTTGAGGTGACTAAATGTATGTAGATTTAGCTCAGTAAGAATGATCTCATGAAATAGAAAGCGGTCAGTATTGCAGAAAAGTCCGGCTAATACGGCCGTCCTGCGAATTAGAGAGTTCAAGCTCCGCTGAGGCAAAAGTTTGTTCAGTTCAGCCGTAGCATTCTGGTGGGTTTTTAAAGTTGTAACGTTCATTTGCACTATCCTTTTCTGCGGCACTCAATCGCCCTAATCTCTCAAGCAAACGTCCAGCAGGGGCTTTTAACCTTCGCCTCATTGTGTGGAACGATGCGCTAGTCCTGGTCAAGAATGTAAGAAGTGTGATTGCACAAAAAGCTTACCTTAGAATGTTGCTGGAAAGGGAGCTGAACGACTTCAAAGTGGGCGTGGTTGCGAATCGGCCGACGGGATTGCAGCCGACTGAGCGCACCACGCCCTACTTTCGAAGCCGTTCAGTTCCCCTTCTAGGGACTTTCCAAGGTGTGTTTTTCGTTCAGTCACACTTCTTATGTCTTGACCAGGGCTAGCGCATCGTTGCACACTATTAGTGCCGAAGGTACTAAGCTGACGGAGTGAGCTCTTCTGCCTTGGATTATTATTATCAATAGCAACAGTCTGCTCTTATCTACTTAGCCTTTCCTCAATGGAGCATTTTTTGGCAGCTTTCAAGGCAAACCCGGGATTAGCCCGATTTGTGGGATGGAGACCGCGGGGGAAATTGCGAGATCCGTTTCTGATCACTTCAGCTTCGCCGCAAAAGTTGCGAGGTTAGGGCGCTAATCCTTACGGGCCTGCAACCATCGACCCCTGTTGCAACGCTTCCCACCCACCTCGATATCGGCGTGTCTCTCAAACGGCGTGATCTCTCCGTGTTTTGTCTTCTTTGACCGCCCTGCCTCGCCATCGTTCCACATCCGCGACCTTTTTGAAGGTTAAGGCAGAGATCCCAAAGATTTCTCTCGCCTTTCTTTTCCACTTTCAGGCTTTTCTCGGCAGTTCCAGCGCCCATGCATGTGCGACTAACGCCCGTTATCAACACCGCTTTATCCCGGGGCTTGTCTTTAATGGGGTATGGATCGCCAGCTTAAGGCGAGGTCTCCCTTTGCACACGAAAACCTGGTGGCAAAGGCTTAATGACTACATTCATCAAACCACCTCCGAGCCATCCCGTGCACGCACCCACCGTTGTGCATGCGTTGGTGTCTGCGTCTCGCTCGTCCTGTCTGTTCTTCTCTTTGGGCCTGTTGCTCACCTCAGCGCCTACTCTTTCTCTCTTTCTCTCTCCCTATCTCTCTCTCCCGCTCTCACACCCAGATAGGCCTGTTTCGTGACTCATGCCATAACTTGGAAGCGGAGTCCTGAGTTTCCCAATGTTTCACGTGAACTTGGCCCACTTGTGCCATCGCGGAATGTGTCCTTGATCTGTATTTTTACACTCATAACTGCTATCACATAAAACAGGTGGAATTTTTGGAATTGCGAAAGAAGGGCAATTTCTGAGGGGTTGAAATTGAAAGATGATATTTATGTTTTCACTGATGGCTCTCACCGGTTTTGCTTTGAGCTGTTTAAATTCGGTCACTTTGGCGGTAACAGGCGGTGTTTGTGTTGTGATCAGTTCTTTTGAAGTGGTGAACATTCTCTGAAAGTCCTTCATCATTTTAGTGTTGCAGTAGAGTAGTCCAGGTCAGCGTACCGTAGTTGTTTGCGTGGTGGTGGTCGGGGTGGTCGGAGGTGTGGTAGATGGAGTTGTGGATTGGAATCGATTCCTGACGATGGAAGTTTTAGTGGACGGCTCAGACCGACCAAACGATGGCTGCAGAGGTATCACCTCGACAGGAATTTTCTCTTCAGACGATCCTGGTGCTGTGGATCCTGAACGAGTACAAGGATGAGCTAAGGGTAAGCATTTTTATGCATTACAAACCCAGGTATGGATACGCCATGCGTTCGACACATGTCGAAAATTGTCGCAACCTTTGAATGCGTGTGGACCTAGTCGCAATTCTGCCTACCTTTGCAACGTTTGTTCTGTTCATCGTACTCGAAGCAGATGCATAGGTAAGATCCAGGAGTGTTCAGACAGTCCGGCTGTGCTGACGGGCACACGTCGTCCCTTACGCATTCGTCTTCATCTAAATTTGAAATTATTATCACAATTTCAAATTCATCTAATAGTGACACAAAAGGCCACATCTACAACATTTATGCCCATTTCTGACGTCCTATGCAGCTTACAGACGTAATGCTCACAATTGAACCATCCCCCTTCTAAACCTTAACGTTTTTCATTTCAAACTCCGCTCTTAATAAGTTCCACTGCAACGACTGGGTGCTAGAGAAGACTCCCAGAGCATTACAAGTCATACCCATGACATACGCGCGCACGTGAGGGCAAACGAGCTCGAAGACAGAGCGACATGTGAAGAACCTGGTCTACGGGTTACTTCAACTCAGTTCTTCAAAAAGCGTCAGTGTGCAGTCCTCGTTTGCGATCTCTTACTTAGATAGCGGATCATGACTATAGTTACCTCACAAGCTTAGTTTTGGTACATGACGAATATCTCATACAGCCTTCCCAACTCCGCCCGGTTTACGAACTACTTGAACTTTCTTCCATGGGTGTGGTTCATTAGGACAGAAAGCGACTTTTCGCGCTTCGCAGCACGAACATTTTCACCTTGCGGAAACCTGTTCCACTGATATCCAGAGTGGACCTGATTCCCGCAGCGGAAAATCTCCAGCGCTTGCGCCCAACGCGTAATAGTTTGCTCATTGTCCAATTAATCACTCCTTCTTCTAATGGTGCCTCCACAGATTACGAACCCCCGCACAGACAATTAAGGACGGCGCCTGGCTCGGCGTCCAAATTCACAAGAAAGATGATAGAGCCCTAAGCTTCCAAGCCTTGGAGGGAGGAGAGCTGGATGGTGAGCAAATTACGGTGTAGCAAAAGTTGACCTTGTTAAATTCCACGGCCCTGACCTGTTCGACTCCGTCATCCGGACTCCGAAATCGCCTTAAACCCCTAGTTCACTGCAGTATCGCAATAGCACTGTTAGAAGCTTGCAGCGCGCACCCTCCAACGTCTGCTTATATTTTTCGACAGATACAATAGAACAGCAGTCTGCAGAAGTCCCGTTGTCGGATTAACATGCGCCTCCATATGATAAAACGTCATAGATAATAGGACAAAAGGTCAGGTATACGTGATGAATTTTTCTAGTTCCGTAAATGACAACTTTGCTGGTATTGATGGTCAATGCTTAAATCACGTAAATTGTCTCCTCTAAACACATAGACACCCTCTGAACCTTCGCCCAAAGACTATAGCGCATGCAATAGACGTGAGCATACAGCAAAGGTAGGATACATCTTCGAATACAGGGTAGTCTGACATATCCAAAGCTAGGGCAATTTGGATGATGCCAGACAACACAAACGACACGCGCATTTCATGCAAAGATGATTGGAACAAAGACGCCGCAGAAAATAGGGACAATCAGAATCAGCTGCATTTCCTCCCTGTTATCGCGTACCCAATCCAGGTAACTCAAGACAGAGGAATCCTTGACTATGGGTAGACTTCAATTCCCGAGCCAATCTGGACGACATCAGCGCCCCTTGCCGTTACACCACTTCAAAGGGCATATGATAGAAGGTTACTGATTCACTAGGTCAAAGTAACAGTGAACTCGGCACTACAGGCCAGCGACGGGAACCAAGTAAGGAAAACGAAAAGGGCCTCCGATGCCCACCGACTTGGAGCTCTCGAAATTTTTGCACAGAAATAAGCGCTCAAGGAATAAAGAAATAAACTCATGAATCTAAAAGTGAAACTGATCAAACTAACCTTCGTCACATATAGGAGCGCCTTTCCATCCAGGAGAACATCGACCATTCGGGCATCGACCAGTTTCTTGATCGCATGGATCTCCACCGTCGCAGTGGCAGCTAAATAAGGTATGCGCATTAATTTAGGCTTTTCTCGTGACTATGCGAGTGAATGGGCGTAAGAGTGACTTTGTTCAAAACGGTTGAAATCCAGTAGCAAGCTATTATTTGTTCCAAGTTCTATATAGTGAGACTTTAAGTCGTTCCAGGCTTGGCCAATCGGAAAGTAATGCTTCAAACGCCATTACTAAAAGGAAGTCGGTGTGACGGCTGATGACGCCATTGGCCGTCACTGGTCAAAGGAAAAGCCTTGGGTGGGATTGCTGGGAGCATCTCTTTACGTTCATCCAAAAATGACGCCCAATGGCATCACGGAAACCGCCCGCCCATCAGCAATCGCTTTCACTGTCTCCAAATAGATGTTTTGAAAGAAATCCTTGAGTTGCTAGAAATGCAGCACTCCTCGAAGAAAATATAGGATTCTTTGTATCATATTTGAATAAAATAATTGAAGAAAAAATAGAAAATCGGTCTCAGAGGTAAAACAAACTAGAGATTGTTGGCACGGCATACCTTTTTGAACAGTCGTTGAACCATTGCGATGATGCGCAGCTATCGATGCATTCAAGTCCTTTGAAACCGGCACCGCAAAGGTATACCTAAAATTGTATCCAAAGCCTGTAGAACTGCCTCTGAGACCCAAGTCCTTTCGAACAGATGAGCTGCTTGATGCAGAAATAATCGACATGGATAAAGCATTCGGGACTTTGGATGAGCCACGCATTTTACTTCCATTCAGAAACATGGTCACATTTTGAATGCGATGGCG